GCCCCTTCAAGAGGCAGCTGGCAGGCCGTGCGGACACCATTCTCAGTGGCGCGAGTAACCAGACCCGCGACTCAAAACATTCTCCACGACATCCACGCGGCGTGTTTGTGCTTCTCTATTTAGATTGTAAAGTGTAATTTAATCTTTAACACTTTTCTGTAATAAAATAAAAGTGCCTTGGGGACGCGGTTTGTCCCCGGGCCTAGTGCTGGGTGGGACCCGGGACCTCCCACAGAGGGCCTCGCGCTCCGCTACGTCGACCTCGACAGAATCCCGACCACAACCATCGACTGTTGCGTTATGTCGCACCTCAACAAGACGCCCGCCGACAAGGAGAGGTAAGTGACAGGGACCTGGGCAAGGCAAAGGAGAGTGAGGATGACCGACTTCACGACGGGTCCACCCTCGACCACGGCCTGGCCTGAGTTGCCCGCCTGCCAGCGAAGCCGCTGGGTCGGTACGCGGCGCTAGTCTAAGGCGGTGACGAGTGCGCGAATACCACAGTTCCGTCACAACTCCTTAACGTTTATAATTATGTTATGTTGTTTTAATGCGCAAATTGAGACACTAAGGCGACAAAATAAAGTTGCGAGGCATGTCTGCGATTGCATTTTGGTTAGAATAAAATTCCATCGGCAGCCGCTTTGGTCAAATCAACTGCTGGATGGAGGCCTTAAACGAGTCCGCACGACCCCGAAATGATCGTTAAACCCCCTGGGGGAGGCCGCACACGAACCGATTCCACCGCTCCATCTCCTCCGTGGGTATCCCCTCTCTGGCACGCGTTCCCTTCCTTGGCTGACACTCATTCATTAGTCTCGACCACACGACGGCCACCATCATCCCTTCTCGCCACGACGTGTCCTTCCGAAGTCCCCCTCACTTCATCATATGGCGATGAAGAAGTCTCCAACCTGCTTATTCTCACAAATCCTCGTGCTCCTCATGCTCTCGGTGTCATTTCGAGCACGCTTCTCGGTTATTGTTCCACTCTTGTTATTTTCCGAAACATATGTCGAAGGCAGACGGTACGGCATCACCTCAAGCTATTGCGACTTAACCCACGTGTCTGATTAAAAAAAAAGTTGATTGTGGAGATGGAGCCATGCAATTAGCTCGCGTGCTGATGGCCAGATGGATTCTTACATCGTAGAATCGTTATGACGGCCGCATGGCAACGAGGCCTTCATCCAGCAGTGAATAGATCACTGCTGATAATGATGAACAAATGGATGGCATCCGCCTGGTGTCGACATGACATTAACTGCGAAATCTGGCATCGGGGAAGAAGCGATGGCGAGGCGTGAACGCATCGGTTGAATGAGTGAGGTTAATGTATCATCGCGAATTCAGTTTGAGCAGCTGATTGTCATCATGACCACATCCCTTGAGAGTTGGAAAATACGCCAAAGCAAAATTACGTGGCATATTTTCCGACATGATAGGCTGTGTCGGGTGGTAGAGGGTTTTTAAATAATACAAATTATGAATGAGATGGAATAATGTTTTACCCATGCTGCAATGTCAGGAGGTTCGTGGAATCACCATGCGCTTCGACTCATCACCGGTGTTTATGATGCGACATGGTCTCATCCCACCAGTGATGACCCGTCTTATTTGTCGCGTGTTGCCACAGGTTCGTCTGCATCTACCCCGCGTACCTGAACAGCAAGAAGACGATAGCGGAAGGAAGGAGGGTTCCAAAGGATAAGGTGAGGGGCAGCTCTCGTCGTAATTGATCAATAACGTACAATCTTGATTACGTACAGCAGCCTCTGTCGATCCATTGCTCAGTGAGGGCCTCCCTATGCCGTGTCTGCCAAGCGGGCCTTGTTTGACCCTTAACCCCCCCCCCCCCCCGAGTGCGGATTTGGTGAAGTGTGCACCTAGAAACGGTTCAGAATTTGCCCCGGCGCCACTGTTTTAGCTGTGGCCTGGAATCAAATTTGGTTCGCCTGGTTCGGAGCACAGTGCACGCAAGCCTCTGCCGCCACCACTTTTCTGCTTGTCGTTTAGTAATTGCTACTCATTGGCCAATTAAGTGTTTACCAGTTGAAATCTCGGTGTGTGTGTGTGCGCACGCGATCAGGCGGTGGAGAATCCGACCTACGTGGAGATCAGGGATGTCCTCTTAGCCGCGGGCATGAACGTTGTGGTGGAGGTAAGGCCTCGACTTACTCCATCGCTGAAGCCGGGACGGACGGTCGGTCAATCCAAATTCAAATCGCCTATTTTGTATGAAAAATAAGAATAGGTTTGACCTTTTTTGGCAATAAAACAGGTGTTAAAATGTTCAAACACCAAATATAAACCTTTTGCAAGGAATCAAGTCTGCATTAACCACACACAGTACTTGTGGTGAACATGCAAACAAACATACTCTGATAAGAAATGGCATCGTCTTTGAAACTCATTGGCCTACACCAGAGACAGCCATCTTGATGGCCTAGTCTCACCAGTGTCAGACCATAGAACACCAAAAGAGGAAGAGTACAAAACCAATGCACGTATCGGAGCATTTATATCTCGGGGTGAGTAGCTGTATCATGGGATACCTTGTGGCATTGAGCGAGCGGATAAATCCATGAGGGTGAAAGAGTGACACTTATAATAGCCCCGTGTGAAACACAGCAGGGTCTTCCCTCGTGATGATAGCCCTGCACTATCAGAACGATTGCGCCAATACCAAATGTTGCGAACTTGTGCGGATTGCGATGCTCGTGTGACCTTGTGGCCTCCGCGGCCCGCAGAACAAGATGTACCCCCGCGAGTGGAACCGCGACGTGCAGTTCCGCGGACGGATCCGCGTGCAGCTGAAGAACGAGGACGGCTCCCCAGTGCTGGAGGCCATCCCCACTCGTGAGTCCAGCACACGTGCACAACCCCCTCATAATTAAGAATAATGGTAAATGAACAATAATTAATGATGGCAGGGGGAAAAGAGTTCCCTACGATGATAATTGTCAAATTTGGTATTGGCGGTCTTGTTTTGATAGCGAAGGGCGATCATCAAAAAAGGAAGGGGCAGCTGTTTCACAGGCGCAGTTCTGCAGTGGTTTCAGTCGGGGGGGGCAATGTTGCTGCTGTGTGATTCCAGTTGTCACCTTAAAAGAATTGGCAAGTTTGAACCATGACGCCACGGTTCAAATGACCTCACGATATCTTTGACGTCTGCTGTGAGTGAAGAAGATGGGTACGTAGCAGTATTATGGTTAATCGGGACGGCCACTGGATTCTGACCTCTGCAACCTCCTGGCGAGCAAGGGGATGGCACCTCAATGCCCGCAGGAATGGAGCTTAACATTTTTTGCACGCCTGCATTACAGGCGTGCAAAACCACCACTACCTGTCTGCATGTGAACACTTATTAATTGGCTGAAATATCTTATTACATATACGGGACCGCAGAACTTGGGCAATTGTTGGCACCGGCTCACCGCCTGGCTGCTGCTGCCCGTCCTAGTCCCACCTGTTTGCGGTTCCGCCTCATGCCCTGAGCCGTTCTCTCTCTCTTCCGAGAGTGAGCGAACACTGCGGCGCGTTCCAAGTTGAAATTGTCACGCAGTTATACGATGCTATTTCCTTCTTTATTGCATTAGTACCGGTAGATGTGGACTAAGTCGCTAATTCATTCAAACTTCGGGCTTTGAGGTCGGGCGCAGTGGTGACCTGTGTTGCGAATAATCGTGCATTACTGATGGAGAGACGATGACATGATCTCTCTGTACGGTGTGGCGCGCAGGCCAGGCACTCTTCACCTACACGGCCGACATGATCCCCAAGCTGAAGGCGCGTACAACCAAGACGGGCGGCGCCGAGCCGGCCAGCCAGCCCGGCGACAGCAGCCGCAAGGGCAAGAAAAAGAAGAAGTGATGCTGCCACCGTCACCGTCACGGCTCCTCTCTCATCCTCGACTTCAGATTCACGAACCAGCGACACCTCTTCACCCGTCTTCTCCGTCATCGCGTGCCACCCCGTTAACGGGCTCTACAGCGGTTGTCAGGATAACTGTTCCACAAATCTAAAACGTGACAGCCGCACACACTTGGGACCGTTCCTTCCCCTTGTCGGGTCAAAGTACGACTGTCTTCGAGTTCTGTGCGGGTCAGCTCATGTGAATTTGTACGCCTTGGCTAAAAGCCACGATCCACTGAGGCAGTTATAGGGCAATTGTCTACAATGCATTAACCATGAACGACCAAGGGAACTTGAGTCGGCAATGGAATGGCATGAGATGGATCCTCTAGCCAATCAATTAAAGCACAGCTTGATTACAAGTGTGCATGCTGAACAATTTGGTTCATTTACAGAGTGTAAATGAACCAGATTAGGGATGGGGTAGTCACTAGTTGAGGGATGGGGTAGGCCTAGTACAAGTCATTAGTTGATTGGGGATGGGTAGGCCGAGTACTCGATGATTAGGCATGGGTCAGGACTAGTTAATAGGTTAGTCAACTTGTCATGCAGTCATTCCTTTATTTAAAGTCAGCCAGTCAATACATAACTGAACAGAAGAACAATCGGAAGGCTCTCTTCCATCTGCCCAGATCCCACTCATGCTGGATTTGGAAGCTGACATTTTGAAGATGCATGTAGCGTGACGCCACGAGGCAGTGCTGTGCCCTCTGCCCATCTGATTGGAAGTTCTTGCCCCCCCCCCGTTCCCACAAGGGGACAGCTTGAATCTGAATTGAGTTTTCTACAATGAGAAATCCCACGGTGACAATTGCACTTGAAATGTTTCGGAGTGGGTCATGGCCTTAATAAGAGCTGCCATAGAATAATTGCACGTCCATGGGTACTGCAAGGTCTGCAGGTTACCTACCACCTTGTGCTGTCTTACAAAATAAAGTAATGTATGTCCTCTGCTCAAGGCTTTGGTGTGAGCATCTTTTCGCTAAGGGCACACACCAAGGCAAGGTGGCGCCCCTCGCCTGCGCTTCAACTCCCAGCACGCGGAGCAAAACGTCGGACATCGCGTAGAACAACACAAACAGCGCTGCAGGTTATACCAATTTATTGTCAATTAACTCATTTACATTAACAATTCCTCATATAGACTGGAGTACAGCGCATTAAAAAAGCAAAATCTCATACATTCAGGGTAGTTCGCACAATGGTTTCCACGTCTACTTCTGCATAAACGAACGGGAGAATGGGGGGGGGGGGGGGTTAGGGAGTACAGCCTGGCAGCTAAGCTCTTGCGTCTCGAAGCAATCCCTGTGTGCAAACGCGTGTCCTCGGGACCGTCCGTCTCAGCCCTTTCCCCGTCTCTTAAAGCAAAAGCGCTGCCGAGTCAAGTGTCGGGACGCCTTCAGCGACGATGGCGAGCCGCCGACCCGCGAGGGAAAGATTGGCCGTCTCGTTTGGGCCCCGCTCGCGACTACGAAGGAGAAAGGCGGCGGGGCCAAAATGGTGTTAACGTCGCCGCGGAGGAGGGAAGAGTTGGCAATCGCAAGCCAGGTTTGGCCTCGTCGATGAACAATAAATTAGATGGAACGGCGAGATAAAAACTCAGGCCCCTGTCGTTAAGTTTATCGTACGTTTTAAATCGCACACGGTTCGCTCACGGGGAGTCCTGCCAATGGGCGGCGGTCTCCATGTTCGTCATAATACTCTTGAAAGGGCAGTTCAACACCGAGGTCAATTGCTGACAATCATAATTACACGAGTGAAAAGCTACTTGTTACACAACAGACGACACACACTGCTACGTGACCCCCAGACCGCTGCAGAATTCTCCTCGACGGCACCAACGCCTGCGCGCCGTCGCGCTCGCAAGCGTGGCGACGTCCCGCAAAGTACCCCTCTTGCAGACCGCCGGAACGCCGGCTACAGGAACAAAGACGCGCGTTGTACGCATTAAATATTGACCAGGCTGTACAATCGCCCTTTAAAGCATCCCGCAAATGAGGACGAGTAGTGTGTTTCCAGTGGTTACACGAGCACTGCCTAGTAAGACTCGCGAGCGCTGACAGCAGTAGTAGTTGTAGTGGTGAAGGGGTGGATTTATGGCTTGTGGGGTGAGCCCAGAGGAACTAAAACTTACGAAAAGGTCATTGGGGGGTGTAAAATAGAAAAGAAACCCCACAACACACCGAGACACAATCCATTGTTATGTACAAACCGTTATGCCTGCCCGGAGTGCAGCAGCAGCAGCAGCATGCCATTGCGACAGTAAACACTGAGAAACCACGACAAGCCCAGGATCAAGATTCAACTCGAGGGGTGGGTGGGGGAGGGGGGGGTGAGATCTGGAAAAAACACAGCCTACTATCAAGTAGTCAAAATGAGTCGATTAAAACTTCAAATAATTCGTAAGTTGGTTTGAACTTTTTTTTGTTCAATAAATAAAAGTGAGTTCCACCGTTTAAGTTAACTTCCTTGGAACGCACTTCACATTGCAAATTCTAGGTAAAAACGTACACCTTGATTTATTTTGTCGCGGTTCCACCCACACTAACGCATCGCTCTCGTCACGCACAAACAGAAAAAAAGTGCAAACCCATCCCCCCACCCCCCCTCCCACACCCTTGGCGTGTTCACCGCAGTTCGATCATCGTCGGGATTATTATTTTCATCGTCATAATCGGCGACACCGCGGGCGGCGGCGGCGGCACGCGAAGGCGTCGCGACCCCCCCGGCTCACACGGACGTGACGAGGTACGACCCCGAGTGCAGCTTGGTGTTGGCGTCGTCGGCGTCGCCGCCGCCGCCGCCCTCCGCCTTCGGCTCCTCGTGCCGCTTGCCAACAACGGGCGTGGGAATCTGGGACGGCCTGGCCGCCGCCACCACGACGCCGCCGCCGCCGCCGCCGGCCCCGCTACTGGCGTCGGCGCTGGACTTGCGCGGGCTCGGCACGTAGTTGAAGGGCGTGACGCGCACGGAGACGGCGCCGCTCGGGGAGCTGTGCTTGCTCGAACTGTTGGAGCTGAACGGCGTCTTCTCGCTCAGCGTCGGCTGCGACTCCAGCTCGGGCGACTGCTGCCCGGCGGACGGCGGGCGCTCCCGCTCGCCGTCGCCGCCGTCGGCCTCGTGGTTGAGGCTCAGCGTCGACGCGTCTCTGCTGCACGTTCCGCCCTCCGAGAAGTCGTCCAGGCCCGACTGGCTCGTCTTGTCGGGCGACGTGGCGGCTCCGTCGCTGCCGCTCGCCGACTTGCTCGAGCGCGGGTTGTTGATGGGGCAGTCCTCGATGCGCACCCACACGTCCTCCGTCTTGGAGACGGCGGGCGCCATCTGCAGCGCCGGCTCGTGGTTGGCTTCCACGGTCCGCTGCTGCTGCGGCGGCGGCGGCGGCGACGCGCTCACGTCCGCCGCGTCTCTGAGCTTCCGCCAGGTGCCCCGCGACCGGTGGCCGCTCTCCCCACCGGACGGGCCGTCTGAGATTCCCGTCCCGTGCACGGGGCCCGTCTTGGAGGCCCTGTCCGTTGTCAAGTGCTGGCCAGACTGCAGCGCATTGCCGCGCTTCTCAGTCGCCGCCTGGCCAGCCTGCGCGTTTGGGTGAAGCTTGTCCGGACGGGCTTTCCCGCCGTTGGGAGGGTGACCCTTGGCTCCTCCTCCTCCCAGGGCTTTGAACACCGCCGCCCCCTGCCGAGGCTTCGCGTCCTCGCTCCTCGTCTTTTCCGACGACTCGGACGAGGCGGACAGGATGGAGGAGGAGCTGCCCACCCGCCGCCAGGTGCCCACGCGGGGCAGCGAAGAGCTGTGCTTGCTGCCCTCGCGCTTCCACGTGCCCGAGCGGCCCGTGGGGACGCGAGTGGGGCTGCGCGACTGCGATCGGCTCGGCCGCGCTCGGGCGCCGTTGCCGGCGCGCTCCTCCGCTCCCCCCGCGCCGCCCCCCCTCTCCTCGAGGCCCCGCTCCGAGTTGGGCGACAGCTCGGGCAGCCCCGACACGGACTCGCACGACGCCGACTCCTTCAGCTTCTTGCGGAGGTCCGGGCTCGGCGTCTCCTTGATGAAGGTGGACTGCCGCACCAGCGCGGGTTTCTCCGATCGCTCCGACTCGCTCTCGCTCGACCTGGTGGACGACATCCGCGCCAGCTCCACGCGCTTCGCCGGGATGCCGCCGCTCCTGCCGCTCGTCTGCGCCACCATCTTGGCTCCGGGGGATCCCCGGGCGCCCGCGGGTTCCGGCCGTCCGGCGGCCCCGTTCCCGTCAACCCTGCTCCCCGCCGCGCCGCCGCCCTTGGGCGGCGTGATCTGCCGCGGGGGCGTGGAGGAGCCCAGCGAGCGGCTGGAGGGCAGGCAGGACAGGTTACCGCTGGTCGGCAGGCAGGCCAGGTTCCCCGAGCTGGACGATCGCGACGAGGGGGCGTTGGGGGACGACGTGCCGGCCGACGTCTGCCCGCCCCTCCCCCCCGCCGCGGCGCCGCGTGCGCCGCCGCGGCCCGACGGGAAGGAGTTGCGTCCGGGCGACGTGGAGGCGCGCCCCGGAGAGAGCGACTTCCGCCCGGGCGACTGGAGGATGCGGGCGCCGGCCAGCTGCTCCAGCCGCGAGCCCGCGGCCTTGGGCGTCACGGGGCCCAAGCTCAGGGCCGGTCTCGCCGCGGAGCTCGTGTCGGAGCGCGCCGGCGCGCTGATGGAACGGCTCGGGCCGGCCGGCGCGCGCGCCGACGCCGGGCTCTTCGAGCCGACCGGCGTCTTGGCCATCGGCTTCTTCGGGGCGGGGCTGGCAGTAGGGGAGGGGTTCCTGAGACCCGGCGACGGTGTGGTGGCCCGGCCCCGCGTCACGACGGGCACCGTGGCCGCCGGCGGCTGAGCGGGGCGAGACAGGCACGGCACCGCCGAGTCCGAGCTGGGCCGCGCCTTCCCCGTGATGCCGCTCCGGTACACCTTCTTGCCTCCCTTGACGACCTTGGGGGCCGCCTCCTCGTCTCCCTTGCGCCGCTCGCCGCCGCCGCCGCCGCCGCCGCCCTTCTCCGCGGCCTTGACGATGCGAGGGCTGCCGCCGCGGCCGCCGGACAGCGACTTGTTCTCGTGCTCGGGCGTCATGTGGAGCGGCGAGCCCAGCGAGAGGCCCGACACGAGCGAGAGGATCGAGTCCGAGTCGGAGGAGGCGCGCCGCGACAGGCACGCGGCCGCCTGGTTCAGGCTGCTCACGATCGAGTTGGCGCCCTCCTGGATGGCCTTCCAGTCGAAGCTCTCCGAATCGGGCGAGCCGATCTTCTCCGAGCTGGGGCTGTCGAACCGCTCCACGGGGACCCCACCTTTGTGGTTCTCGGCCGCTCCCTCGTTGTCCCTCTCCGGCTCCACGGTGCCGGGACCGTGGTCCCTCACGGCCGCCTCCTGCCCGCGCGCTCTCAACCTTCTGACGGACGGGTCGGGGGCGCCGCCGCCGGCCGCCCCCTGCTCCTCGGCCTCGGCCTTGCGCGCGTGCTGCTGCTTGCGCCGCTGCGGCATGGCCGACGAGATGCACTCCTGCAGCAGGTCGTCCTCCGAGTCGACGCTCAGCGAGCTCAGCGAGCTGTTCCTCGAGAAGCACATGGGAGTGTCCTCCACGCGGAACGCCCGCGGAGCGTAGGCCGACGGCTCGGCCTTGGCCTGCGCGGGAGGCCTCTCCGCGGCGCCGCCCCCCTCGCCGCCGCCGGCCGTGCGCGCCCCTCCCCGGTTGTTGTTGTCACGGTCGATGTCGCTCAGCGAGCTCAGCGAGGAGTTGCGCGAGAAGGACACGGGCGTGTCCTCCACTGCGAACCTCTGCACCTGCTCCTCCAGGCCGCTCCCCCTCTTGTCCGCGTTCTTTTCAGCACGCGGCAGCTGGCTCGTCGCCACTAGCTTCGGCAGTCCCTTGGGCAGCTTTGTTCCCAGCTTCTGGCCCTCCTCCGGGATGGCCGCCGGCTTGTGCACGCCCTTGGCGGCCGGCGGCCCCGACTTGGGGCCCTTGTGGTAACCACCGCCTCTTCCGACGGCGCTGGCCTCTCCCGATTTCTTCCCCGGGCCCCTGGCCGCCGTTCTGTCCTCGGGACCCCTCGGCCCCCCCGAGGGAGCGTCGGTCGCCGCCCCGTCCGTCTTGAGTCCCGCCTTGTCGCCGGCGAGGTCCGTCTCGTCGTCCTCAAAGTCGAGCGAGCTGAGCGAGTCGTTGCGCGAGAAGCAGTACGGCGTGCCCTCGATGGGCGTGAAGTGGAGCGGCGAGTCCGATGAGAAGCCGGGCCGCGGCTGCTCTTCGCGCGCCGCCGCCGCCGCCGGCGGGCCCTGGTGGCCGCCCCTGCGCGCCTCGTGCCTGGCTGGTGGCCTCCTAGCCGGCGCCGGCGCCGCTTCCACGCCCTCGCGCCGCTCCGCCGTGTCGTCCGCGGTCAGGTCGCTGAGCGAGGTGGCCGTGGAGAAGTTGACGGGCGTCCCTTCAGTGCAGTACGTCTTGAGCGAGTCGCTCGCCGGCGTCGGCTGCAGGAGCAGGCGGCCCTGCGCCGCCGAGCGCAGGGAGGGCAGCTTCGACTTGGCCGATTCTCCCCCGGCCGCCGGGCCCTGCTGCATTTGGTCCATGATCTTCTTGACCCGGTGCGGTTTGTGGCTTTTTCCCTTGGGCATCGCAGAGCTGATGCACTCGGCGAGGATGTCGTTCTCCGACGACTTGGCGCCGCCGGCGCCGGGGCTCCCCGCGGCGGCGCGGCCGCCCTCCTCCTCGTCGTTGCTGCGCCCTTCCGTGGGGACGGCGTCTCGCTTCTCGGCGGCGTCGCCGGTCGCCTCGTTGGGCGGCGAATCGAAGGTGAGGTCGCTGAGCGACGTGGCCGTAGAGAAGTTGATGGGCGTCCCCTCCGTGCAGTACACGTTGGGCACGTCCCGGTTGAAGATCTCGCTGGTGAAGCTCACGTGCTTGGGCGCCTGCACGGGGAGGCGCGTGCCGCCGCGGGCCTGGTACAGCGGCAGCTGGCTCGGCTTCTTGGGCGCCGCCGCCGCCGTCGCCGCCGTGCGGCCCTTCGCGCCCGACGCCTTGTGCGACGGGGCGGCGGCCGCGTCCTTCTTCTGCTTGGCCGCCGTGGACTTTGTGGGCATCGCCGAGTTGATGCACTCCTCAAGGATGTTCGAGTCGTCCTCCGAGTCCTCCAGCGCCTCCGCGTTGCTGCTCTCCTCGGCGCGGCGACCGCGGCGCGCCCGCTCGGCCGACGCCGGCGCCGACGAGTTCTGCGCCGCCTCCGGCGACGCGGCCTCGGCGGCCGCCTCCTCCTCGACGGCCGCCAGCGCCGCGCCGCGCAGCTCCAGGTCCTTGGCGATTAGCGGCTCGTCCATGCTGAGCGCGCTGAGGCTGGACGCGCACGAGAACCCGTCCGGCGTCGCCTCCGTCTCGAAGTGCAGCAGCGAGTCCCGCGACTGCGTGCCCTGCGCGCCGGCGTCCGCCTTGCCGCGCCACGGCTGCCGGCCCCCGTCCGGCTTGGCGCCGGCGCCGCCGGGCCCCTCGCGGCCCTCGTCATCGTCATCCGGCCGCTCCGACCGCAGCTGCGGCGGCGGCGGCGTCTTGCTGCGGCTGGGCGGCATGGTCTGCCCGGGGCTGTCGGGCAGCTCGCTGGGGCTGATGACGCCGCTCACCGTGCCGCTCACGGGGTCGCTCTGGATGGAGCTGGCGATAGACGAGTCGGGGTAGCTGTCCAGCGAGCTGACCGAGCTGCACCGGCTGAACACCAGCGGCGTCTCCTGCACGTAGTGGTCCAGCGGGCTCTTGGGCGTCTGCGAACCGGACTTGGACGGCGACTTGGCGCCCGAAAAGTCCACCGTCTTGTGATGCGCCCCCTCGCCGTGGTGCCGCGCCGCCTTGGCGCGCCGCGCCGCCGGCGACGGCTCGGGGCTCTCCTCTTCCCTGGCGCCGTCCTCCGCCAGGTCGACGATCCGGACGTTGGCCCGGCCGGCGCCGGACTTCCCGCTCGGCGGGTGATGCGACGTCTCCATGCCGTCGTCGGCGCTGCTCAGCGAGGACAGCGAGCTGCAGCGCGAGAAGCAGATGGGCGTGCCCTCCAGGCAGAACGTCTGCATCTTGTCGCCGCTGGCCGCCTGCCTGTTGGCGTACAGGCCCTGGCCGGGCTCGCCGGCCGCCCCCGCCGCCGCGTTGCCGTCGCGCGCCGCCAGCTTGCTGACGCGTACGTTGGCGGGCTTGCCGGCCACGTGCGCCGACTCCTTCTCGGCGCTCATCTTTTTCACGCCCATGAAGAGCTTGTGCCCCGTCGGGCCGTACTCCGCCGGGTACTTGAGGCTGTAGTCTATGGGCTCGTCCCGCACGCGCCCCTTCTCCGGCAGCTTAATTCGGTACCCGCCGAGTGCCGCCGCCTCCTCCTCCTCCTGATTCTCCTCCTCCGAGTAGCGCTCGCTGTAGTTCGTCGGCTTGTCGTCCTCATAGTCGTCGTCCTGGCAGTCTGCCGCGTTGATGCGCCGCTCGACGGGTGGCTCCCTCTTGCCGCCGCCGCCGCCATCTCCGCCGCCCGGCCGCATCGGGTAGAACTGCGCGGCGGCCTGGTGCTGCGGCGTGTACTGCGGCCGCTTGCAGTAGCCGGGGAACTGGCCGGCGAGGCCCTTCTCCGCGCTCTGCTTGTCGCCGCTCTCGGCTTCCTGCTTCTGCCGCACCCACACGTCGCTGCCGCGGCTCGGGCTCTGCCGGCCCGAGTTCAGCTGCTCGTCCGAGTACTTGAGGCTGTAGTTGATGGGCGTGTCCGTCTCCGAGTCGTTCTCATCCAGGTGGTTGGCGCTGTGAATTTTCTGCGCCAGGTCGGGCGGGTACTTGCCGTAGCTGTGGTACTTCCCCTTCTCCTTCTCGAAAGCCGCAGAATCGGACGGCGCCTTCCCCGACGCGCCTTTGGAGTGTGCATTCTTCCCACCGGCTCGGCCTCCGTCCCTGTGCGCCGCCTTAAACTCGACGCCGCCGTAGTGGTACTGGAAGCCGCGGCTCTGCCCGTCCGCCTTGCCGTAGCCGGGCGCGTTGGCCTGCAGGTACGAGGTGCCGCCCCCGCGTCCGTCCGACGACAGCGACCTCGCCCCGTCGACGGAGGACGCCGAGCTTCCCGCCGCCGCCGCCGCGGCATCTTCGATGGCCCAGGCAACGCGGGAGTGCTTGCTCACGTCCGGCACCGCCTCCATCGCGCCGCCGACGCGGTACGCGTCCGCGGCCCTCGGCTCGCGCTCCGCGCCCAGCGCCGGCGACTCCCCCTTGGCACCATCGGCCGGCAGGTGGTGCCGCTCCTTGGGGTACAGGTTGTGGTGGTGGTGCCCGTGCAGCAGCGGCGAGTTGACGAACGGCGACAGCGCCGCCGGCTCGCCTCCGCCGCCGGCCGCGGCGTCCGCCCGGCACACGTTCACGCCGTTCTTGCGCCCGCCGCCGCCGCCGCCGCCGTCCAGCACGTACTCGCTAACCAGGCCGTGCCGCTGGGGCTTGTGCGCCGACTTGCTGCGGTGCTGCGCCTTGGGGCTGAGGTTGTCGATGTTGTCGAAAGTTTCCGTTAGGTTCTGGGCGTCCAGCTCGGCCTCCAGCGCCCGCTGCTTGCGCACGGCGAGCGTGGGCATGCCGGAGTCTGGTGACAGGATGTTGGCGTCCTTGTACTTGGCGGGCCGGTTGGCCATGAGGTTGCGCAGGGCGGCGGCGCTGCCCATGGCGATCATTTTGTGCTTGGAGTGAATGAGGTTCTTGAGCATGGCGACGGCGCCCATGTCCCAGAGCGCCTCCTGGTCGCGCGCGTTGCGGGCCGACAGGTTCCAGAGCGTGCCGCACGCGTTGCTCACGATGGTCAGGCTGTGCGACTTGAGGTGCTGCAGCAGCGTCTGCAGGCAGTTGTGCTCACGCAGGGTTTGCCTGGAGGCGAGGGGAGGGGAAGGCGAGGGGAGGGGAGGGGAGAGGGGAGGGGAGAGGGGAGGGGAGAGGGGAGGGGAGAGGAGGGGAGGGAAGAGGGGAGGGGAGAGGAGAGGGGAGGGGAGAGGGGGATGCGAGGGGAGGGCGACACCAGCTTCGTAATGACTCAGTGGCAGCAGCAGCATCGCCAAACCCTCCCACCCTCAATAAAATATTAAAAACTAAAGATAAAGATCCCCCGTATAGCCTTTAACAGACTATTGGGGCAAGCGCTGTGAGCAAGCACCAATGAAGGCCGGCACGGCACACGAGGGGGTGGGTGGCCAGCACCACGCCTGGCCGCCTTTGTCCCCCTCGTGGCGATGTTAACACACCGCACCAGATACTCATTTGATGCCGAGTCGACCTTGGAGAGGCCCAGGGCCGATTCAAATAATCGTCACTGGTGTTTGGCCGTAAGCGGGAATCGAACTCGGCTCACCTTGTTTGTCGTGCAGCGCGCTAACCCCTCCACTGCCGCTCCAAGTAAATGCGCACGCTCCCACACGCTCACACACACTCACACACACTCACGCTCGCTCGCGCACGCTCGCGCACGCACGCACGCTCACGCACGCTCACGCACGCTCACGCACGCGTAGAATTGTCGGCGCTCACCTGTAGTCCTCGTTGGTGGCGATGAGGCTGGAGACGTTGCGCAAGATGCCGCCACCGCTCTCGATGATGGCGAGCGTGTTGGTCTGGCTGCGGTAGGCCAGCGTGTCCACGAGGAAGCCCAGCGCGCCCACCACCGCGCAGATGTCCGCCTTGTTCTCCGTGCAGTGGGCCGACAGGTTCCAGAGGGCGCTCAGCACGCTCTTGAGCGTCGACTCCTGTGAAACCCGTACGCCCGCCCCACCATCACCATCATCACATCATCAGCATATATATAATGATTGAGTTGGTGAGCGAGAGGGTGAGTGGGTGGGCGAATAGATGAATGATGTGGGCGGGTGGTTTAGTGAGTGAACGATCCAGGTAAGTGGGTTGGGCGAGTGGACGAGCGACACTTTGCCATCAGAGAAAAATTAAATACTCTCAAATACAATTGTCAGCAGTAGCAGAACAAGCGTGCCAACAAGGACACAATTGATTTTGATAATGTTGAAGTTCTGTGCAAAACTAGCTACTACTGGCCAAGACTAATTAGAGAATCTATCGAAATTGAAAGAATACAAATAATTTTAACCGTTCGGATAGCTACCGTCTTCGTGCTGCGTGGAAGCGAATCATCAAATAATAAATTATTCAAATGCATGCCTATACAGAGCACCATACCTCAATAGGGATTGCCTTTGGTACGGCTATTTTAATACACACAATGGACAGGAAGGACAAGTTCAAAGGGCTCGCATAATGCACATGCATAATGTACGTCGCCTCAGTAATCCCGCCCCCCCACTTTGCACAAGAGCGAAGAAGCGTGGTCCCCACATCTACACCTCTATATAAGGAACCAAACAGGTGGACTTCTCCGCAAATCTGGCGATCGCCTGATGAAGCCGGTTGTAATTACTTGCGAAACGTCGTACTCGGATTGTAAATGTTGTGGCTTGGCTCTCCAACACAAGGCGTGCTGTCGGGTGGTGGCAGGTTTTAATGACACATTTATATATTTACGCGATCTAAAAACCTCTATTATATCCCTCTGTGAGACACAGCAACGCCTGCCTTCGGCCAATACCATATGCGATGAAGAAATCCAATTATGAATTGTGAAGCTAAATCTGCCGCTTACCTTCTTCACCTCCAGGGCGCACTTGGTGAGGGCCGAGACGCTGCCCACCTCCCGCAGGATCTTCTTACTCGTGACGTCCGCTCGCCACGAGAGGTTGCGCAGGACGCTGGCGATCACCTGCGGCACGCGCAGCACGGCCGGCGGTTAGAGCCCCGAGCTTGCGGCCAGCCACCCCACGCCGAATCCCTCCCTGCCGTGCCCTCCACCCGCCGTGTTAAGCAAACGCCGCTCTTCCGTGCAGCAGCGTCGAGGCCCTCATGTTCCCTCCTCCCTCTCTTCATCTCGCCTGATCCTTTGGCTCCCGTTTCTCCCTTCTTTTTCCGCAATTTTCCTCTCATTTCCCACCATTCGTTCTCTTCCCTTAGCTGGTCCTATCTCTTTTCCCATTACATTAGCATCCTCGACTCCACTACCCTTCCCTGTGGTGAGCCACCACGGGTTAGCAGGTTTTAGCGGACACAAATCGTGACAATTACTGTCGCCGTGTTCTTACCTGTCGGAGATCCTCGCTGTCAGCCTTCAGCTGGGCCACCATGCCACGCATGCAGCCCCGCATCGAGCACAGCGTGGCCTGTGTACGAACACAGCAAGCAGCACACCACGCACCAGCCAGGCCACACGTCACGCACACGTCACGCACACGTCACGCACACGTCACGCACACGTCACGCACACGCCAGGCCACACGCCACGCACACGTCACGCACACGCCACGCACCCGCCAGGCCACACGCCAGGCCACACACGTAGGCAGGGGATATGTTTATTGTATAGGGCAGTCAGCAGTCGTTCCACAAATTAGCTTCAGTCAGCTTTTATAAACAGTCCTCACGCTGTACACGATGGCCAAGAGCACGCCCTGGTATGAGCACAGGGGCGTCTCTCAGTGGTCGAGGCTCGCCATAGGAAGGTTCAGAGTCAAAATCCTGGTCGGGGGTGGGGTTGACTCGGCCCATCATCATCCCTCCAGGGTTGATAAAAGAAGCACCACTTTGTGGTAGAAGTCACCAGTGGCTGTCCGATGGTCAGACTCGCACCGCCCCCCCTGCCACCACTCCCACCATGGGAATTTGCAACTTCCACCACTGGCTCTGCAGGGCTTTAAACATAAAGACGAGCACCATTTGAACAGGAAACTGCTGACTTTGTAGAAGCACAATTTTTATATAAGCAATATGTGCTTGCCTTACACTGATGGGTGGGGGGGGGCGGAAAATTAGGGCAACTTCTGATACAAGCACACGACTGGTAATTGCCTACGACCTTCAACATGCGTAGGCTTTCTTGCCCAGCATTACAAATCATTTTGGTTCAGGTGGTCGCGTAAAATGTGTGGGTCGTGCACCCTTCCTCCACCTGAGAGTGCAATTGTCTCGTGAACAAACGCGGCCAATTTATTATTGCTTCAAAGCAGCACCACCGCTGCGTTGGAGAGCGATCGACACGCATTGAGAATGTCAGGTGCGGACATTTCGCCAGTAGTTGCAACAACCATCATCATCAGGCAGTTGCCAGAATTGTGACGATGTTCTCCAGTCTTGGCTAACCTCAGTGGCGAGTAATTTCTGAACCGGTTCTGGGTGCCCCCCCCTCCTTTCACCAACGCGCACCAATCAATTCTACACTCGGTGCTTGATCACGGCCGATGACATCGATGACTCGGATCCTTGCCACCGGCGAGCCCTCGCCGGTCTCCGCGGCGGCGCAACGGGCCGGGCGGCAGCGGCACGCACCTTGTTGGCGACGTCACCGAACGTCAGGTTGGTGAGCGCCATGCCGGCGTAGCGCCGCAACGTGACGTTGTACTGGTCGCTCGTCATCGCAAACATCTCGCAGTCAGCCTGCAGCAGCTCGGCTATCGCCTGCAGTCCACCTGCAAGGGAGCGCCAGCGTGTATAGTTACTCTCCGACTCAATCACCCGCTCGCCCACCTGCTCGCACACTCACTCACTCGCCTGCTCAGCCGCTCACTCAGTCACACACCTGATCCCCTCCACTCACTGTCGCTCACCAACATGCACACTCCTGATTCATACATTTGCTCACTCACTTGCTCACCAGCTCACTTAACCACCCACCCACCCACCCGCTCTCATTCGCCCACACACCCACCCACCCACGCGCTCTGACTAGCTCACTCCGACTGGCGCACTCCTCACTCGCGTCACCACGACAGCTGCCACCCGGTGCGGTGCTGCCCTCACCGAGCTCGTTCATGGCGTGCCTGTGGTCTTCGTCGAACGAGAGCTTCATGAGCACGCAGATCGCCGGCCCGATCTGATTCTCCACCGGCGACGGCTCTGTCATCGCACGGTGCCGGGGGCAGCACACAGTGGAGGGGGGGGGGGGGGGGGGGGAGAACGTCGGACAAATGAGCGTGGTGCCCGAGGGGTGGAGGGGCCACTTTGTTCTGACAGCAAAACATGCGGGGGTGCCCGCGGCAGATGTGGCACGCAGTCAGGCGGCACATCTGGCTCGTCGGGAAATCTCGTCGGCACCACGCCGCTGTCGGCGTTCGGCCACTAGACCGAGACCTTGTTCCCCAGCACCCCGAGCGCCGCCCCTTGAGGGCCCGCAGCGAGAGGCGCATATGAAGATCTCTCTCGAGTGAACTCGCTGCGATTTGACAACCCGGTGTTATCGCAGGCGGTCGCCTAGATTCAAACCCAGGTCTCTAAGCGACGGTGCCCCGACCCCGTGAACACCGCATTGCACCATGACACTTGGTCCCACGACACAACTGCGGACGTACAACTGCAACGGAATCGCTGCGCGTGGCGCTGACGTTTTTTTATAAAGAAATACACCGTTTAAAATTAAATAAATTAATGCGAACCGACACACCTGATGATGACCGTTTGTGTTATGGTCGAAACGTGAGAATTTTTTTTGTTTTATATATAATTTTATTATTTTATTGTTTCCCTTCAACGTGACTTTACCGAAAGAGCTAAGAATATGAATACAAACTAACGTGTTTAGATTTCATGAGCCAGCTGGCCAGGACTGGGCCAGCGCACGGCTCGTTTTCCACCCAGGCAACCGGAGAGTCTGTGCCCCCCGGTTGCCTGTCGTGACGGTGGTGCGGCGGTGGTGCGAAGGCGCAGCCTCCCTCCTTACTGCCGACGGACGAGACGTCGGCGGCGATGGCGGACGCTGCGGCGCCGCCGCCGGCGGCCTCCCTGCCGTCCTGCCACTCCCAGCACGCCTCGCAGTAGGCGCGGATCTGCTCGAGCAGGTGGAGGACGCGCATCTCGCGGTGGCCGCGCTTGTCGTCGGGCTGCGAGTGCACAATGTTGTGGAGCGCCGCGCTGGCGCGCGCCCGCGCCTCCCGGTTGCCCTTGGCGGCGCCGAGCAGCGACGAGTCCTTGTTGTTGCCGTGCAGCAGCTGGATGAGCAGCGGCAGGCAGCCCGACTGTCGCATGGCGATGCAGCTGTCCTGCGAGCTGCTCATGGCGAGCAGCGTGCGCGACATGTCGTCCTTGTCGTGCGTGCCCAGCATGGACAGCAGCGAGTAGACCATCTCCACCTAGGGCACCCCCAGCGGCAGCGGCCGTGGCACGCGCGACGTCACGATCAACGCACACCCAGCCGTGGTTGCTACGACCGGTCAATGTCAACGTCGCTTCCTGCTCGCACGAGCGTAGAGGCATTGGTGCTTAAATGTCCCGTTTACAACTTTATAAGAACCACTCGTGGCAATTACACATTCCTCTGGCGGGGGGCAGGGCGAGTCTGTCAATAGGGCAATCGCTGTTGACTTTCATACAAAGTGGTTCTCATTTTCTCGACCTCCATAGGGATTTATTGGATGATGGACCGAATCAAATCTCGACCAGAAAATGAACTCGTAACCCACTGGATTCATGAGCTGCCCGCTCTATCGCTGAACCACTTGACCAGATTCTAAATAGAGGTGTCCACAAATAACAGGGGCAGATATACCATGTCCCGCACACGTGGCTGATATATACAAGCAAACCTCTGGACTGATTACGACATACAGTATCTAGGACCCATAGATTAGCATTTCGCCAGTATTGAATCAAGCAAGCCTGAGGCCTGATGATGAGACACCATGTCAAAACCGAGTGTTGCTTGTGTTTGAATTAATACTGCTGGACTATACGGTAAGCCACTGTGGGGTCTGCACTCTTTTAATGAATGGGGTAAAACTGCACGAAGTTTCTCTCTCCTGAAGCACTCTCGTGACCAACAAACCTCGACAATGGCATTTAGCTCCTGAACAAATTGCTGCCATCACACGCAAGAACACGAGATAATGCTGCTGCGATTATGCACACTCGCAGACGGAAGGCCGTGCAGGGCGGCTGATGGGATGCTTCAGAAATGCTAGCATTGTGTTACGCAGAGAAACGGATTCTATGCGAAGGTACGCCCATGTGGATCGGGTCACGTGTTCCGATGCCGGGCGGCCAACGAGCACGGAAGGAGGAGACTCTTAAACCGGCTTGGCGGCACAGCGAGCGACAAGCCGGTGCATGCGGTGAATGCCGCCGATTCCGCCGCCTCCTTTCCTCACCACCGCTAACCCCCTGCCCACCCACCCCCGAACGCTTCACGCACGCGGCCCCAATTACGGTGAACAATACAATGGCTCCTATGACCAAATCACCCGGAATGCACGCAATCTCGTTACACCTCGAGTTAAGCCCGGATGAGCGGCACAGAAGGGGCGGTGTGGGCAGGAATGCGAGGGATGCCAGTGGCTTGAGAAGAGAAGGCCTTTGCAAAACAATCCTTTGTTGTGCTACACTATGCCACATCGCCTTCAGCAACCTGCACAGGCCAGCGTGGAGAAGTGTGGTCGACTGATCACTTCCTCCTCCTCCTCCTCCAGTAATGCACTGACAATGTGGCTGCACCTTTGCGTGTACAAAACGGCTGAACCTCAACGGTGCGGGGGCCGGGGCAAAATGCAGACGGGACCGCACGCCGTGGGGGAGACAAAGACGGGCGAGAAGCAGCAGCGCTCAGAAAATGAACGGAGGAGGCGGCGTCGCTGTGAGCCGCATCGAACCGCCGACGATGGACGAGACGAAATGTATATTCAGTTTTAGTCAGAATCATATATTTGCATATGTACGGGATTTAGAAGGGCACCCCCCCCAGAGGCAGCTGTCACTGTGGGGCACAAGGTGACTCGGCACTTGGCCTGTGAATGGGCATTCGTCTGCCAGTAGGGGAGGAGGGAGTGAGATGATGATCGCTCCGATACGTGCAATCCCAATTGAGTCAGTTGCTGTCATTTCCCCAATGAGGCAAATCTTGACAGTGATGCCGACACACAATGGCCTACTCTTGCGAATCTCCACCGTGAGTGAATTATCATGGCTAATACACACCACCGTTTACGAGCACACACACGCGTACACATTCCATTTGGCAATACATTCAATAACGCACGGAACTTTTTGGTTGCAAAACATGTAATCCGCCGCATTACTACGTATTATTAATTATTAATGAGATGATATGAAAAGAGGGAATAATTGCTCAGTAGCCAAGCATGCCGACTATGAGCTCAGCGGTTGTCAAGGGCTGACTATGAGCTCAGCGGTTGCAAGGTTCGGCATTGACGAGTGGTGACGAGACGTGCAGTTTGAAGCGTTAGTTTAGGCCGAGTGGCTTTGCATTGGCAAGGTCATCACGGTTCAGAAAAATATGAAATAGCTGTAACATGCGTGTGCGTGTACGTGTACGTGTGCGTGTACGTGTACGTGTGCGTGTACGTGTGTTTGGTGACTGACGTGGGCTCCGCGGGAGCGCGTTCGCCGCTGGCTGCAGAGGTTCGCGGTTCAATTCTGGCGGCCACCCTGGTTAATTCTGCGGGCGTGATTTATCGGCCACCCTGGTTAATTCTGCGGGCGTGATTTAACGGCCACCCTGGTTAATGCTGCGGGCGTGATTTAACCGTCAAGGGCCACGTGACGTAATTCGCAAGAGTCGGCCGTTGTGTGCCGACATCACGGTCCATGTGACCAAATGTTTTAAATTACACCGCCAATTCCTCAATTGGGATCACACACACAGCAGGCACAGTAAAACATCGCCCCCTTCCTGCGATAATTTCGCAGGAAACTCCGGTAAGGTGAGGCTTTCCTGGGTAAACAAGCGTAGCAGTAGTAGTAATAATAATAATAGCGTATAGGCCTTCTGGGAATCCAAAGCTGGATGAAGCATGCAATTACGCAGAGTGCGGATATAAGGTGAAGCTAAAGGCACAGCCCTGCAATTTCTCGCTCGCACCACTGCTGGCGGAAGGGGCCTCCGCGAGCGCCAACTCTTAGAGCAGCCAGGGGTCGGCAACCAAAGTAACAAGAAAAGCCGTTTTTGTTCGAATCCGGTAAACAAAAAAAATCTCAACGTATCGAGAGCCGCAACGCGCGTGGTGAATAACGGCACGAAGCGGCAGTCCCGAAAGAGCCGCGCGCCGAGCCCGGAGCCGCAGGTTGCCGACGTCCCGCCCGAGAGGGCGTTGTTGGTCTACTCTTCCACTTTTAGCCAGTCGTGCCGGAAGAGACGAGGGGCGTACCCGCCACTTCGCCCCGCTGTACGTGAGCGGCCGATCACAGGCCAACTGTGGGGGGAGCCCATTTACACTGCTGCTGGGTTGGCGGCGGGGGCAGCGGTGGAGATTTAAGAAACTTGCCCCATCGCTTCAACTGCCGCTCCAGGAGAAGGAAGGAATCGAACCGGCGGCCTCGAGATCGCAAGTCCAGCGGCGCTGCTAACCATTAAGCCACAGAAGTTACAAGGAAGCGCGGGTGAGAAGGTGTGCGGATAGGTGTTTGCGGTTATCAGGGTCGTGTGTAGTAAACAGACTCGGCACAGAGTGAAAGAGGGCAGTGGAGAAGGCAGAAACCTGAACTCTGACGTCCTCCGTTACCTTGGTACCCAGGTGGCTCGCCGGTTGCCGCGGTAACGAACAGGTACTGCTGAAGCTCATCACACTGCCCACGTCGTGCTCCTGCCCTCCAGAGCTCTGCAGTGACAGCAGCAGCAGCAGCGACAGAAACAGCAGCATATTGCGAGGCGCTCACACCTCACACAACGTGCGCATCCACACTGCATCTTTGTACGGGTTTCTCTTCGTGAATCTACGGTTCTCTGTGCGAGTCAAAGTGCCTCTAAAGCGAGTCTATGGGCCTCTATGTCTGTACACCGTCGAGAGATGAGGTGGGATGTACAACACGCGGTTTCATTCACAACGCATTGCTACATCCGTGAAACACGGCGCACGTGCGATGCATCGCGCGTTAACTTTTGAACGTTCTGGGCAGCGGAGTTAACTTGAAGGGCACGGGGGGGACGGGAGGTGAAGGATCAACCTGCGGACTTTGGGTTAGGCCATGTAATTATCCGATCAGTTTGTTTTGTTAGAAACCCCTCCAACATCTAACATGGTTTAAATCGTCACGCTGCGTACAAGCGTTTAATAATGCGCCAATTATTACTGTTTCAGCTCACTCACACACACACACTCACACACCCACTAACTCACTTATCCACTCACCCACCAACTCACTCACTAACACTCACTCACTTAGCCACTAACCCAGACACTCACTCACCCACTGCCGATAAGTTTTCTGAACAATTCCCACAACCAAATTTATCGAAGTGTGAGATACGCGACGTTTCGCTTGAAATGGCACCAAGCAACTCCAGGATAAGTTCCAGGACGTAAAAATAAATCCAGGAAGTTAAATTTTGGGCAGATCATTAAAGTGGCCTGGCCTCATAAAAAAAATCAATCACGAATCATTGAACGCGATAGTGAACGAGCGAAGCGCGGATGAATACCGAGCTGCGTTACGCTATGAGCTGACACCGCGGCCGCAGAACAGAAATGAGATTTTCTCGCTGTCACTTCTCATTCGTTTTGACACCGCCAACGCAAGTCCCGAGGTGTGAACATCTGATTTGACACGGCCACCCAAGGCAGCCGGTCAAGCGCAACGCACGTGCACCAAACGCGCGTGCGCGCTCACACACACACACGCACGTAAAGAAATCCCAAACATCCTCCCCGTGTAACCACAGAGACACAGTCAGAGCAATGGCTGTTAGCAAGCACCTGTCAAGGCTGGAGTGGTACACACAAGGGCCTGGTGCTAGCTGTCACACACACAAGGGCCTGGTGCTAGCTGTCACACACACAAGGTGCTAGCCGTCACACACACAAGGGCTTGGTGCTAGCCGTCACACACACAAGGGCCTGGTGCTAGCTGTCACACACACACACAAGGGCCTGGTGCTAGCCGTCACACACACAAGGGCCTGGTGCTAGCCGTCACACACACACAAGGACCTGGTGCTAGCCGTCACACACACAAGGGCCTGGTGCTAGCCGTCACACACACAAGGGCCTGGTGCTAGCCCTCACACACACAAGGGTCTGGTGCTAGCCGTCACACACACACAAGGACCTGGTGCTAGCCGTCACACACACAAGGGCCTGGTGCTAGCCGTCACACACACAAGGGCCTGGTGCTAGCCCTCACACACACAAGGGTCTGGTGCTAGCCGTCACACACACACAAGAACCTGGTGCTAGCCGTCACACACACAAGGGCCTGGTGCTAGCCGTCACACACACAAGGGCCTGGTGCTAGCTGTCACACACACAAGGGCTTGGTGCTAGCCGTCACACACACAAGCTGCTAGGCGTCACACACACAAGGGCTTGGTGCTAGCTGTCACACACACACACACAAGGGCCTGGTGCTAGCCGTCACACACACAAGCTGCTAGCTGTCACACACACAAGGGCCTGGTGCTAGCCGTCACACACACAAGGGCCTGGTGCTAGCTGTCACACACACAAGGGCCTGGTGCTAGCCGTCACACACACAAGGGCCTGGTGCTAGCCGTCACACACACACAAGGGCCTGGTGCTAGCCGTCACACACACACACGCTGCTAGGCGTCACACATACAAGGGCCTGGTGCTAGCCGTCACACACAAGGGTGCGTGACGGCTAGCACCAAGCCCTGCCACCCTTGTCCCCACCCATTGCTGATGTTTGCACACTGTGCCATCTTATCATCTCAAGTTGCTGAACAAGGGGAAAGCCCAGGACGAGTTCTGATATCACTCGCCACTCAGGTCACACCTGTTTGTTGCGCATCGGGCCAACCACTGCGCCACCGCTCCTAAAATACACACCTAGCAATACAGGAATACGCACACACACATGGGAACACAGGAACACACACACATGGGAACACACACACATGGGAACACAGGAACACACACACATGGGAACACACACACGGGAACACACACACACACACATGGGAACACACACACGGGAACATAAGAACACACACACACGGGAACACACACGGGAACACAACACCACACACACACGGGAACACAGGAACACACACACACATGGGAACACACACACGGGAGCACAAGAACATACACACACATGATAATACACACACACGGGAACACAAGAAAACACACATGAGAATACACACACACAAGAACACACACACGGGAACACAAGAACACACACACACACGGGAACACAAAAACACACACACACGGGAACACAAGAACACACACACACACACGGGAACACAAGAACACACACACGGGAACACAAGAACACACACACACACACATGGCAACACAAGAACACACACGGGAACACAAGAACACACACACGGGAACACAAGAACACACACACGGGAACACAAGAACACACACACACACATGGGAACACAAGAACACACACACACACGGGAACACAAGAACACACACACACACGGGAACACAACACCACACACACACGGGAACACAGGAACACACACACACATGGGAACACACACACGGGAGCACAAGAACATACACACACATGATAATACACACACACGGGAACACAAGAAAACACACATGAGAATACACACACACAAGAACACACACACGGGAACACAAGAACACACACACACACACGGGAACACAAGAACACACACACACGGGAACACAAGAACACACACACACACGGGAACACAAGAACACACACACATTTGTCTGGAACTCCCCTCCCCCCAGCCATCTGTGCTGCCGACTCCCTGCCTCTGTTCAAGTCCAGGACTTCAGCCCTTCATCTTCTCCTGTGCCTGTGACTGACAGCCTCTCTCTCTCTCTATAAGTGAATATCGCCCCCACTGTTTCTGTACACAGCATCTTAGGCTGCAGTCACATCGAGACACCGCTGTCAAAACCCACGCTGCGTGTGGACTGCGTGCGTGTGGAGGCCTAGCCTGGGTTTAGTTCTCCCAGGTGCCATCAAGTAATAATAATTACAGATTCCGGCACGGGCAGCGCACGCAAACGCCCAGTAGGGCAAGGGCACACACGCCCCTCCCCCCTCCTCTCCCCTCCCCCCTCTCCCTCTCCCCCCTCTCCCTCCCCTTCCTCCCTCTCCCTCCCTCCTCTCCCCCCTCTCCCTCCCCTTCCTCCTCTCCCTCCTCTCCCCCCTCTCCCTCCCCTTCCTCCCTCCCCCCCTCTCCCTCCCCTTTCTCCCTCCCCCCTCTCCCTCCCCTCTCTCCCTCCCCTTCCTCCCTCCCCCATCTCCCCCCTCTCCCTCCCCTTCCTCCCTCCCCCCTCTCCCTCCCCTCCCTCCTCTCCCTCCCCTTCCTCCTCTCCCTCCTCTCCCCCCTCTCCCCCCTCTCCCTCCCCTTCCTCCCTCCCCCCTCTCCCTCCCCTTCCTCCCTCCCCCCTCTCCCTCCCCTCTCTCCCTCCCCTTCCTCCCTCCCCCATCTCCCTCCGCGCTCTCCCTCCCCCCTCTCCCTCCCGTCCGTGCACACACAATGGCAGCAGCAGGCTAAACGCATTTGCCAGTGCCGTGACTATCGGGTGTGCAGGGAGTGCAACTGCGCCTGCAGGAGCTACGAAGAGGGGGGGGGGGACAAGGGGTGGCCATTGCATTCCTTGCACTAGGGCCCACGCCAACCACGTGATCCCACTCTCTATGGGTTTCTATGCGAGACGATAGGTTTCTATGTATTGCTCTATCGATGGCTTTATATGTTGCTGCGACATAGACCACTTTCAAAACGAATGATCGGTAAACATTGTTTTAATTTAATTCTCATCAGGCCCCCATAATGTAAACAAGTGCAGTCTCCATCCATCCTGTCTCTCTGGGTTTTCAACTTGTGTTCTATAAAATAGGGGAAATTGCCCGAAACATGTAGGTATCAAATAAAATAAATTATACCTACTACGCGATTACTTCACCGAAATAACCAAAGAGTATGGATCCTTGCAGTCACAAAATCTTCAAATCAAGATGAAATCTAGATTGATTATATACATGTTGTTTGTTATTGGCCCATGTTGTTTGTTATTCGTGCTTGTCCCCCAGTGCATCAGCAGCAGCATCATCCGAGGATCCCTTATGGGTTGATATGCGAGTCTAGACTTGAGGACAACCCAGTCGATGCGAGTCTACGCGTCTCAACAGCAGTCCATAGGTGTCAATGTGAGTTTCAATCAATCAATATTTAACGTGCCAATATCGGCCTCAATTAATTGGGCATCGGTGCACATTGCAGAGAAACGGGAATGGTACAGGGGCATACGGCAACAAGAATGAAAAGGAAACCCGTCACGCTCTCAGCGCTTTTATGGACATTGGCGTAGCTGCCGAGTGTGCAGGCGGTGCAACTGCGCCGCTAGGGTCCATGGGCCGGACAGAGGGGGCCCAGGCGTTGTTGCAGTGCGGCATTGGCGAAGAGGGCACGCGCACACTGGACCGGTCCAGGTATCACTCGCCACTGATGTTAGCCGTCACCCTGGAATCGAACCCAGGTCCCCGAGCTTGCGGTTCAGGTGTGCGAACTTCCGCGCGATCGCTCCGTGATTAATTGCCCCACTAATTTATTTTAATTGCCCCACGCACAATCAATGGCCCATTTTTCTCGTGAAGGATTTATCCGCGCGCTGGATGCTGCAGGGCAGCC